CCATTCTACAAATGGGGGTGCTCCTAGGCTCGTCGATGTGCATAGTGGGTCCCACCACGGGTGGTGCTCATTTGCGTCTAGGAGTAGAATAGATGACTCTGGTAGTCTTGTGTTTGTGTTTAGAAGAACTCTTGGGATAGTCTTTATATCTCCTATACCTCTCTCGTTGTATAGGTTGAAGATATTAAACTTATGGTTTCCTTTCTGTACTACTAGTGCTATAGCGTCTGGATCTGACGTAAAACCTTCTAGTAGGTGGGTTTCTGCTAATAGCGTTCTAGAGATATAGAATAGCACTCTAGGGCGGAGTTTTGGTTCGGATTGTGGGAGAATTTGGAGGTATGCTGCGTGGCTAGTGGACCTAGTATCAGCGTAGTCGTTGTTTCTTGTTGGTGTGAGCCAAGGCTCTTGGACTGCAATTATATCAACCCTTAGTTCGACAGCTAGTTGAAGAGTAGACTCTGTAGCCTGGATACTCTTATTCAGATTCGCTTGGAGAATCTTAATGCTGTCTAACATTCTGTTGTATATTGGTTCTCCTTGTTTGTTATAGCTGCGAGGACTTCACAGTCTCTGCTATTAGCAAAGTGAGGTTCTTTGCAGTTTGAGCATTTTGGGAGTGTATGGATACAAGGCTTCCCACTTGTCGTGCAGGTGGAGCATTTATGCTGCGATGTAGGGTGGGTCCCCGCACATAGCTGGCATGCTGTTTGGTTCCGGCATTTAAGCTTTGTATGGCCAAAGCCTTGGCAGTTGTCGCATTGGGTAGTAGCTGGAATACTTCTATACTTTTCAGTACGGAGGCTCTCTCCAAGGATGATGATCCTCGCTCCTAGTTTCTTTGCTTCAGCTTCTGTTTTAAAAGCAATAACAATAGAGCTGTTTTGCTTGTTCTTCCAGTCTTTTGTAAGCCAGTAGGAGTTACCAACTATTTGTAGTCCTTTGTTGTATGTAGGGATTTCAGTTTGAAGGATTTCTAGCGTGTCTGCTCCTTCAAAGGTTGTAGGGACGTTGTGGACTATGACTTTTGTCCAAGATTCTAGTGGTTGAGCGTGTTTGATGTTAAAGAGATCCATCCAGATGTTGGATTGCTGGAGAAGGAATTCTCCAGAGTATCCGCTTGTAGTAGTAAGTATGAGATTGTTTCTCTTACTAAGAGCTGCTAGTTGGATAACAGGTCCTGCAATGCCAGCTTTTTGGAATGCCTCGTTGATTTTGTTTCGTGCTTGGAGCGGGTTGATGGTTTGGTTTTCCTCTAGTGTTGCAACTATTTGGTAGTGCGTAATTAGTTTCTTAGGCGTTGGCTTTTTCTTTGGGGCTACAGTCGTCCAAGTGGCGTTCTTTGATGGTTGAGCTGCAATTGTTGCGTATGATTGGGGAGCATTTGTGTTTGTTGTCGTTGTTGCTACTGCTACTGTTTGGTTGTTTTGACCAGCTACTGTGGCTGTTGCCTTCTTTAATGTCTTTGCTGCTTTTTCTGAAGCGTTTGCTAGAGTAGCTGAGTGGAAGGCGAGCTTGGCAGATAGTTTGTCCGAGATCTGGTTTGTAACTCTCCCTTTTTCCGTGTAGTCTCTAAATACGTCTAGTAGTTCGAGTAGCTTGTTTTGCTCTTCATATGAGTTGGTCATAATAGAGGCTTGGAGGATCAGGTTTCTAGCCCATTGGATTGCCTGTTCTGGATCTTTTGCGGTTGGTTTGTCAGAGTCATTCTTTTGGAATGGATTTCTTCCAGTTCTGTCGTATACAGGAGAGAAGAGGGCTGGTCGTTTGTTCATGATTGGGACTAGTCGTTCGGGTGGGTTAGGTTGAGTTTGGGTTGGGGTCGCTGGTGTCTGGTCCTCTTCTATACCCATTTGGATATCATTTTCGAGATAGATTGCGGTATTAGTGCTGTTTCCGCTTGCCTCTGGGATCTGCACTATGATATTGTCGCTGTCTGGCGGCATTTTTGTTCTGTTGTTGCTATTATTATTATTATTATATTTCCATTAGAGTCCTGTATCAGTCGGTGACTATGTAGGACTTTGGCTAAGCCGTTCTATGTATGATGGTCGTTGTGGAGTTTCTATGGGTCTTGTACAATTTGGGTGGTGTTTTGCGTACTCCAATTTCAGAGCTAGTCTTCCATTGGCGCGGGTGCTAAAGAGCAGTGTGGTGAATAGAAAGAGATGTAGCAGCGGGCTCTTTTAGATAAGGAAATATTGTTTTTGTTGAGAATATTCCGGTCACCTGTCACGAGGACGCTAAGTCACATGACCCACACCGCTCTATATTAGCCGAGCTTTGTATAGTTAGCAATTGACACACTTACATGCCATGACTGAGAGAGTCATTCTTTCTCAACAGTTTTTGTAGTTTTATACAGTGTCTGTCTGTTCGGTGGTTTGCCCAAGGTGCCATTTTCTCGTGCCAATCCTAGTACTTGCAATAAAGGCTAGAGTAGCTTTGATGCCTGTCTTTGTTTGGAGGAGGAGTGGGAGGGTGATGGGTCTGTGTGGTATTGCTTCTTTGAGTGTATTTCGATGTGTTTTGTACTGTTTGCAATCTAGAAGTAGATGCTGTGGTGTTTGTGGTTTGTAGCATATACATAGATTGCAGTCTCTCTCAGACTTGCTATCAGTCAGGTAACTCAGTTCGAACTGACTGAACTGACTGCCAAGACTCAGTTCAGTCAGTCAGTTCTTGAGGCAGCTGGACGTCAGTCCAGTCAGTTCAGAAGCCTCCAGACTGACTGAACTGACTGACGTTAGACTGACGTTAGCTGTTTTTAAAGCAGTATTTTAGAGTTGTGAAAGCCACATTTAGTGCGGCTTCGAAGCCGCGCTAGTCCTAGATATAAAGACACTAATCCTATATAAGTTAAAGCATCTAGCTTTAAGCTAATTAGAGTTTGCGGAAATGCGCTACCCGGTGCGCACCTAGTAAGCCTTTCGCGTCGCGTCGCGTCGCGTCTGCTATACACACGACGCTAGACTACTGTTGCCATAATACTTCTTGGTGTACTTCATGTCTACTCCCTCTAATTCAGGCCTTCGCCGCCTTGTAGAATGCGACAAGCGCAATTCTCCTCTACCATCGCTATCAAACGCGCCTACTGTTGGCGATACTGCGAGCGAGGCCCAGGCTGATGAGCCCTTGGCAGTACAGGCGGACTTCCCCAACGACGGCGACGACGACGACGACGACGACAATTACGACGGGCTTGATTTTAAGCGTGTGCCGTATCTTGAGCGGCGCCAGGTTGAGCGTAATAGTCGCGGTGGGCCAAAAAGCTGGATCTACCGCCACGGCTGGGCCGTCTGGCACCGCAAGTACAAGAAAAACTACTGGCTTTGCCGGTACTGCCATCAACGACGGAAGCAGGAGGCTTGCTACGAGGCTGACAGCACTACAAACGCCGGCCGACACCTCTCAGCACAGCCTGGACACTCACACGGACTACGACTGTACC